GAATAGTAGGATTGACCGTCACGTTATAACGCCCCCACGGCTGAAAGGGCGAGCATGTTTGGTGGGACGGAGATTCGAACCCGCGACCCTCAGATTGCGAGTCGAGTGCTCTAACCACCTGGCCATGCCGGGCCCATATCGAGTTTAACGTGTTTATAAACTTTGTTACCCGAAGGTTTTAATATATTCAATTTAAATCGTAGTTCTTTACATAAAGTTGTAATATAAAACTTTTTACAAATGAAAACAAGGTTGTTAGCTGCCTTATCTACGGGAGTGATAACATATCTAGTATGTAAATAATCTGAATGATTAATACCCCCCTCCCTATCTACAATGTGTTAAATGTTATTAATATCAGGGGGTGAAATTCTCACAAAAATAAAAAAGTTGAAGTACTCAACTGGGTGAAGTGGACTTGTTTTATGAAAAGAAAAAAATATATACTTGTAAACAAAAAATAAAACCGACAATAAGTCCCAGTAATAATACCGCCTTAAAAAATAAGTTCCGGTACTCAGTAACGATGAGTACCGGCAAATTTTCACCCCTGGTTAATAGTGAATTTCTTTAAGCATGTTATGTGTTTATGTATCATGTCTGTAACTTTATTTGCCCAATCTATAAATAGCATAAGTTTTAAGTTCTTTTTCTTTTTTTACTTCATCTATGTAAAACTTTACTGAGTAATGTACTAATTACTGTTTAAATATATACGGTAAACATGTGTGTGTGAATAAAGGCTTAGTAACTTATTTGTGGCTTTATTTGGTTTAACATTGTTTGTTTCAAGTATGAGATTGGTCTTAGCTTTAGCTGACTCGTAATTGTACGAATGAGAAATTATATTTAGTTTTGCGTTTCCCTGAATAATGATGCTGTAACTGTAAAGGTGAACATATGACTATGCACATTTTCTGGTTTAGATGCTTGTGGATTACTCCTATAGAGGACGTCGAGCCATCATGTTTTTTTCCAGTTGGTTATGGTTACCGCCAAGTTACGGATGTCAACAGAACAAGGAACAGCGAGATTGTAGAGCTCGAACGTATCGACCCAAAATTGACTGTTTTCGGTGATGAGATCAATAAAATACATCTAGAAGTTTTCTATGAAACGGACACCAGACTGCGCTTTAAGGTAAATATATATTTTTCTATATTATGGCTGAAGCATTTAAGACAGAATCTTCGTTTCAATATTTTCCTATCTTTTATTTTCAGTGTCAAAACGTGCTCATGGATAGGCGGCTAGCACATATTAGGCCTCAGATGTAAAGCATTATTTTAATTAATGTCTAAAAGTTTTCACAAGTACAATCGCTCATTTGATAAAAATTAAGATAGGCCTATAAGTGGACGTAACTTGTAGCAAACATTATTGAAGAAAACACTAATTCGTTATTGTTACGAGGCTTTATTTTTACAAAATAGAACATGTTAGGAGATTATTTTAAAAATTACACTGTAAACGCTGAAAGCCAGCAAATAATTAGAGACCAATAGGCCTAAGATATGGGATTAACAATCACGTTAATTGCAGATGCCCATCCAACACCCCTCACCACCACCAACACTCTCCATGATATGTGTTATTGTTACAGTAAATGACTTAATTACACAGACCTGCGATGGTTTTTATTGTCTTGAAATTGTTACATGGTCTATGGTAATTCCCGTACGCTAAATCCGCAAATGATAGCCATTTTTCTCCATTACATACAGATTTTTCACAAAACGTCGTATGTACTTTTACATAAGTGAATCATTTTCATTGAAATCGGATCACATTTTATAATGCTTAAAAGGTTGACAACCATTGGCTATAGATCTCTCTAGACCAATCGCGACGTGACAGTCTTATTGATCGTTCTAGAACCCACGATAAACACACCGCTAGTATATAAACGGTTAACAGGCCACATGACGTGTACTTTATTTTTTTGCTTTTCAGTATTATTTATTCTTTGCTATGGCAACAAGTGGTTGTGTAAATGACCCAAAGATATTCTGTTGTATTTGGGGTAAATCTGTTGTATAAAGAAGTAATGGCCACCCAGAGTCAGCCTTATATCAGGATCGAAAAACATTGAACGTGAAAATTGGTTGACACAAAGAAAGTCCTATTACTTCCACTTCACATAAAACTGGGCTTGATGAAGCAGTTTATAAAGGCCTTAGACAAACATGACAACTGTTTCAAGTATCTATGTGGGCAATTCCCAGCTCTTTCAGAAGCGAAACTTAAAGAGTGGAATTTTGTTGGGCCTCAGATTAGGAAATTGACTTCGGGTGAATAGTTCGAAAAAACAATGAGGAAAGTTGAAAAAAAGCGTGGATTGCCTTTAAAGATGTTATTGACAAATTTTTAGGAAACAACAAGGACCCAAATTACAAAAATATTGTCAATAACATGCTCGATAAATTCAAAGAGTTGGATTGTAATATGAGGTTGGAAGTTCATTTCTTACACTCACATATTGACTATTTCCCAGGAAATTTCGGTGCTTTCAGCGAAGAACAAGGGAAAGGGTTTCATCAAGAAAACAGGGAAATGGGAAGGTAGAATATCAGCATGATGGCTGATTACTGCTGGTCATTGAACGAGATTCTCCAGACACAATACATAAAAGAAAGACCACAACACGTGGTTTTGAAACTAAAAGACGTAGATTTCACACACACACACACAC